TTAGATTGGTACCAGATAAAATAATTTTGTTATCAACAATAATACATTATGCTAATTTTCATCTTGTAAGCGCATAAGACAGTGCAAATTATTTCTGTGACAGTCTTTTGAAGTGTGTAAAGCTCCATTTTTTCCCATACATATTCAAAATATTGGGGGGGGGGATGATACAATGGACCATATCCCCTTGTCAAATATTGGGAGGGGGAATATATCCCCCATCCCCTGGGATCTACTTCTATGGGCATGACTGAACACCAAAGAGCCGTTTGGACAATGTCTGCTCCTATATCCTCAGCGTATAACTATGCCATGCAGGACTTCACTAATAAAGTGTACACAACAAGTGTGCAACACAAAGAGGCAACTAACTGTCTCGCGAATGAAAAGGGACAGGCTAGACTTAGAAAACTTTCAACCAAGCTTGCAGAACATTCTCCCTTCTCAGAGGAGTCGACAATGAGAAACATTATCACAGGAATAAATGCTGATAAAGACGTAGATGTTGAAGAACTTTTCACCATAGGTGAAGAAACAGTTAAAAATATGGAAGGACAGTGGGTCTTTCCATATTCATACAGACGCAAGAATAAGGCCAAGACGCTAGCATCAGCTCGTGCCATCAAAGTGTCTGAGGATCAAACCATTGATCCAGCTCTCTTGTTTCAAAGGTTCTTGCTAGTATCGCAATCTAGGGATCTCTGCCTAGATGAGGTAATGAAATACGAACTGTCACCATATCCCCCATCTTTGTATGGTGTTGAGTCCTTGTAAGCTAGCAATAAAGACAATATAATACAACAGTATAACTCATAGAACAGAATTTAATTCTTTCCTCGTGGTTCTCTCTCTCTGTGGCAACTCCTGCCCTCAACGTCGGTATTGTCACACAGGACAACAGTAAGAACACCACATTTCCCCCTCTTTAAAAGCAGAAACTATAATCACAGTAAAAATGACTGTATACCATATAAGGTACAATGTAAACCCAGTTACTATAACAATAAACACTTCTATTTCTTACTGGTACCCATAACATAGTCACGAGTCCATCTAGGTGGATTTCTAACTCTCTTACTCCTTGAGAAACGTGAACCTAACTGAGTTGAATTGTTCTTCATTGAATCATCAGCAGTTGGAAAGATTATAAAGTCACTACTGTGATCATCACGACTATCTCCCCCTCGGCCTAATAGGGTTGGCTTTCCTAGAAATGGGTCTCTTATACTAGGTGTTTCACATTCCATTTTTGACCATTGGTCATTACGTAAGTGTTTAGACCAACATGTTGTCTAATTTCCACCGGTTCAGTAAATTTACTCTCACCCTTGCGGACATTCCAGGGCTTTTTGATTCTAACAATATCTCCCGGGGAAAAAACTCTAGTTTTGACGCACTTCCGGTTGTCGTACGCCTCTTTAGACTTTGCTTGCTTTGCTTTTGTTCTATTGTCTATTTCGACTGAAGACATTTGCTTAGGCGATGTTGTCACTCCAATGATATCTAACAAAGTCAACATATGACGCCCGTGTAGTACCACAGAAGGGGATTCCCCAGTAGTTGCATGTCGCGTAGCGCGATAAGTACCTAGAAATTCGGTCACAGCATTTTTTACTGGATGTTTATCGATTCGCGCCGTTTGAATAGTTTCATTCAAAATCCGGTTAAAGCGCTCGACAGTACTGTTTCGTTCTGGGTGATACACCACAGAAAATCTGTGTTTGATGTTACGTTTTTGCAAAAAAAATTCAAACTCCTGGCTAGTTAACTGCGTACCATTATCAGAAACTAGTTCTTCAGGATAACCTTCAC